TCTCAGAAGGGCTAGAACCCAGAGCCGTAAAGCCAGTAAAAAAAACAGTGACATTTTATTTTAGCTAGTGTTGGCATAACATTAAATGAAATTGTTACATAGCACTATGATTGAGATAATGTATTATTGTAGGAAATTCTTTGTATGAGACTTATTCTCAGCCATATTACTTTTATTTATGTTATTACTGATAGTACAGTTATTACTAATAATAACTTAATATAAAAATATTTTGTGTGTTGTGTTGGTAGTGTTACAAAGTGTATACGAAAATAGTAGGAATATACTAAATGGCAACATTTGAATAGTTTTTTTTTTTTTTCTTAGTTTGGCAAAATTGAATAGTTTCAGTCATTTGATATTCCCAAAAATGTTTGTTTTTTTCTGTGGCTTTAATTAAAATAAATTTTTATTTGAAAAATCATAGAAAAATTATAAAACTCATTTTATATATAACTTATTTCTAGACGCTATAATTTTGGTCAACTATTTTTCTGCCATTGCTCTTTCAACATAATATCATAACATAGTTCTAAGTTAAAAAACTAAAATTTCTTTCTACCTATAATGTGTTTGTAAGTGTACCTTTATAAGTATTCTTAAAAATTGTTGCTGCAAATTTATTAATTACAAGAAATGGTAAGTAATCAGTTTCTTATTATTCCAGTGCGTGTGTTTTAACTTAAATGTTATTGTTGTTAATGTTCATAAAGTACCTCATAGGTAGATATGTAGGTACCTACTTACTGAAAGAGTGCTACGTGACTTATGTACCTACCTATAGATATATTTTTTTGGACGAGGGAGATTGAAGAGCATCAAGCTTACTGACCTAACCTAAAATCTTAGATAAATTCACACAATGAAATCAAGTGTATCGTCGTGACCACAATGATTTTAATGCTCTTTAAAAATAAAATAAGAGAGCAACTAACAGAATGAATATAGCATGCATAAACTTATAATCTTGCTTAAAATTTTTAAAAGCACCTATCGAAAACTTTGATGTAAAGTATTGCGTTATATATATATATATATATATATATATATTAAGTTATAAATTCTTAGTTTATGCACTACAGTCACAGTCACTTACTTTTTATTTTTCAGGTACGAGTACTACTGTATCTTCAAGCAGAATACTGCAATCGAACTCAATTGATTTAAAAAAAGCTACGGACGTTATTAATGATACTTTAAGTGTTTTACAAAATAAAAGAGAAAATGTGGACGTAATCTACCGCCAGTTTTTGAAGTCGCTAAAGAAGTAGCTGAGGAGCTAGATGTAGAAATTAAATGCCCCAGAATATTATCAAAATAAATACATAGGGCCAATAACCAACCTGCTCAATCTGCTGAAGAGTATTTCCGCAGAGCTAAATACATCCCTCTTCTAGATTCAATAATAAGTGATCTCCAGGACCGCCTGTCTCCTCATGTACTTAATTTGTTTCAGCTAAGCGTTTTCATACAAAAAAGCGAATATAGTAATGAAGACATTGAAACTGAAACAACTAGCTACCGACTATACATTATTACTAGATAACACTCCAGTTTCTGTCATTGTAAATGCGGAGCCAGGACATACCGCAGTCGATTTCTGATCTTATTTTAAATTGTGACATCGATATGTATCCTAATATAAAAAAAAAATTATGTATTATGGCTACACTACCTGTCAGTGTAGCGGCAGCAGAAAGGCCTTTCTCTACGTCGCGCAGAGTTAATTCGTGGCTAAGATCTTCAATGGTTGAAGATCGCCTAACCGGACTGGCACTTCTCCACGTTTATAAAAACGTACCCATTGACGTAAATGACGTAATAACGCGTTTCGGGAGAAGACGTAAAAGAAAAATTTATTTTGTTATTTAAATATATGTATTTTGTCTGTTTCTATTTTGGTTGTTGGAAACCCTTGTCGTACCACCTCTTCACTTTTGCGGAGTTTTGCGTCATACCCCTCGACATACCTCTCTCTAGCTGTTATGACAAATCATTCACCACCGGTTATGGAATATAAATAGGCTGCCTCATTCCGTGCGTGATAGTGCTTCTCTGGATGTCTTCAAGAGAAGATGGCAATATGTACGTGTATATGTACAAGTTATTATGTGTTAAGTGTTTCAAGTGTACAATAAAGAATAAATATTTTTAAGTACAGTGCTTACGTACATTAATAAAAAACCTAATTTTTACTTGTATCTATTGTTATCAAAATTAAATTATAAGTTCTTGAATTGACCACGACTATGTGACCCCCTCCTGGCGCCAAAGCTGGATCCGCCCTTGAGTCCATACCATGCATTACGTACCATAGGGCAGCTTATCAATGACGACGGCGCAAAATATCCACTTGCAAGTCGTATCGTGTCAACTTCGCTATATATGGACGATATCGCATTCTCTTTGCCCAGCGAATCTGAAGCCAGTGACGCCTCTCAGCAGCTGATAGGATTCAAGGGTGCACAATGGGACCTAATAAAATGGATTAGCAACCGTAGACCTGTTCTAGATAACCTCCTTGCTTCTCATAAGATTACAGGAGAAGTAGAGTTCGATAAATCAACGCAACATAAAATATTGGGCTTGTATTGGTCTACTGATAGTGACGCCTTTTATTTTAAGATAACTGTTCCCACTGATGTCACGTGCACTAAGCGCTCCATCTTATTTACTGTCGTCCGCCTGTGGGACATAATGGGTTTCGTTGCCCCCACAGTCGCGTGCGCCAAGTTGTTAAAGCCCCATACGCCAAAGTGTAAATACATAATACATACATACATAAACACTCACGCCTGTCACCCAGAGGGGCAGGCAGAGATTATGGACTTCCATTTGGCACGATCCTGACACACCTCTCTTGCTTCCTCCATATCCATATACCTACGCATACACGCTCGTCGGTTAAAGGTACTCTTGATTTGGCCCATTTTTAATATATCGCCAATTTGGTCGATAAACTTTCGCCTAGGGCAACCCTTCCCGACTATGCCGTTCACCTCTGCAACATAAATTTGCTTTGTCACTCTTTCCTCATTCATTCTTTCTACATGGCCAAACCACCGAAGCATTCTTTTCTTAATCCTGGTCACAACATCATCTTGCAAACCACACTCTTCTCTTATTAAACAATTTCTCACTCTGTCATTCAGCTTCATCCCTAACATACTCCTTAATGACCGCATTTGTACAGCATTTATTCTACTCTCATGCTTCTTCTGCCACACCCAACTTTCACTACCATACATTAAAGTAGGTACTAACACAGCCCCTTTAATGGGGCAGGGGTGCGAAGAATCTCCGGGAGGAAAACCGGCGACGAGGTTCGCCACCCGTCACGTTCTGTCCCCCGGAGAGGCGAAAAGTGGATTGCAAAGTGTATAAATATTTGAAGAAAATTCTGTACCCTCTGTGTGACTGAGCTGAGATGTGCCCTTCCTGACTTTCACGCCAATTTAAGCCATTTTACATATGTTTAAGGGTTTTTAAAGCTTATTATTAACTGAATCTTGACTTTTTGAATGAATGAATGAGTTGCAGTCGTCAAGCTTTCTCGTTGGCTGCGAAAACAGAGTAAAAAATCATTCTACCGTTAGTATTCAAACTTGCAAAGTGTTTGAGTTTTAAAGTGGTACGTACACGTTAAACGCCATTATAGAAAAAAGTTTTTTGTAAAAAAAAAAAACTTGTAATTTATGTATTTAATCAAGATATGTATGTATACTGTTTTTCATAAGAATCTGCCATAGGGTTCCGTAAATATAACAAAAAAAACCCTTGAGGTCACCGGTGCCCCCCATGGCGCTATAAAGTAATAAAAATAGTTTCCGTTACGAAGGCGCCACGCCGGTCACCGCGTCGGCCACCCACCCGCTCAGTACTGCGCTAACGCCCGTGAAGAGAAAACGTGAGTGTTCTATCATTCTATGTTGCTGTAATACTTTGCGTCAAGTACGTAATTAGTGTGATATTGTGTGCAGTGAACTTGAATATTATGAACATTGCAATAAATAATTAAAAATGGAAATATTTAGCAGTAAAAATTTTGAAGAAATACAGGTGGACATGGAAGATTTTGATTTTACACAGGAAGATTTGCGGGCATTAACATTACTCGAGACTAGCATTGTACAGCAGAATGAACGAGATAATCAATCAGATCTAGAGTTGTCGGATTCAAACGAAGAACAGTTGCATATTCCGAAAAAACGAACACGTTTAATCATCCAAAGCGACAGTGAGAGTGAGTCTGATTCCGTTCGAAATTATGTCACAGCCAATATTACCGCCTCAGATCGTGTGTCAAAGAAATGGTCACGCCCTAGGCGTCAACAACCATCTATTATACCATTTACCGAAACTTCAGGTATGAACAAAGAATTTTCTACTATATTAAAAGAAGCAGACCCGGGAGCTTTTTATAGTCTTTTAGTGTCTGATGAAATTTTCAATATGATTGTAGAGCAGACCAACTTATTCGCCTTACAATCCTGCGAATCGAGAAATGTAAAACCTTCATCAAGATCTCATGCTTGGAAGCCAACAGACAGACATGAAATTAAACGTTTCTTTGGACTTACATGGGTCTTGTGAGACTCCCAAAGTTAAGCTATTACTGGAGCAAAGATAAAATCTTAGGACAGACATTTCCACGTACCGTCATGAGCCGCAATAGATTCGAAATAATCCTACAGTACCTACATTTTAGTGATAATGAAACCGCAAATAAATCTGATCGAATCTCTAAGATAAGACCGATTATAGATATGGTCAATAATACGTTTCAAAAGTATTATTCACCGAAAAAAGACATCTGTGTCGACGAAAGTCAGGTTCCATTCAGAGGGCGGATTGTATTTAGACAATACAATAAAAGTAAACGCCATAAATATGGTTTAAAGCTATTCAAACTATGTACTATTCCCGGGTACACCTGCAAATTTTCGTTGTATGGCGGTAAAAATATCGATACCGTAAATACTACGCCTACATCAGTGGTAATGTCTCTTTGTAGCCAAATATTAAACAAAGGCCACACTTTGGCAACTGATAATTGGTACACCAGCTTAGAGTTGGCTTACAATTTACTGGAACATCAAACGCACTTGATTGGGACTATTAGGAAAAACCGAAGAGGTTTACCTAAGGATGTAGTAGAAGCCAAACTTCAAAAGGGAGAGTTCATGGCCATGGAAAACGAGGATGGTATAACAATTTTAAAATGGAAAGATAAGCGGGACGTGATGATGCTTTCTACTAAACATTCTGATAAAATGTCAACAATCGCCAAAAAGGGCAAACAGATTACTAAGCCTAAAGTGATTTTAGATTATAATAAGTCAAAAGGATCTGTCGATATGAGCGACCAAATGTCGTCGTATTCTTCTCCCTTACGTAAAACTATTAAGTGGTACCGGAAACTTGGTATTGAGATTTTGTTGAATACTGCCGTAGTAAATGCATGGATTATGTTTACCGAAACTAGGAACACAAAAATGTCAATCGTAGAGTTTCGGAAATCTCTAGTAGACTATCTAACAAGCTCGTCAGATTCTCAGCAGACTGAGTCAGGAGTAACGGTATCAAGACCCAAACGTTTGAAGCACGAGTTGCTAACAAAAACTGGGACAGTGAGAAATACTAGACGATTTTGTGTACACTGTTACAAAGATATGGTAAAGCAGTTTGGACGAAAATTGGCGAAAAATAAAGCTAAAAAGGTTAACCCTTTACCGCATACTGTGCCAAATTTGGAACGCTTTAATTTTTTCCTTGTAAAATGTTATCAACGCCATCTATCTATTCCGTTCTGCATCAACAAACAAAAGTAAGGTGTGCTTTAACTAAGCTACTATAAACAACCTCCATTCTAGTCTTTTGAAACGTTATTATCTCTGGACAAAACAGTTGAAGCCGCCATTTTGTAGGAGCCCGACGTTTCTCAGCTTCATACAGCGATAAGTGTTGTTGTTCTTGCAATAAAATTAAAAAACTGTGTGAGTGTTGCAGAAAAATGGATCCTCAGCGCTTTTATGGTAAAAAACGTAAGTATATTTTATAGTATCTTGTTTAATTAATCGGTCAAAGTTTGTTCCAAATTCGGAACAAAATGCAGCCAGGCGCTTTTTAACTGGCCAAATTTGGAACTTCATGCAATGTGTTCGTTAAACCCCCTTGGTCATATTTGGAACATTATGCAGTGTAATTACACTCGTCCTAGTTTTGATTATTTATATATGAACTCATCATCACTTCACTAAATATTATGAAACAAAGCCGTCGGCCACGTCTATCTGTCTGTCTGTTTACGAAAACTACTGCACGGATTTTCATGCGGTGGTCACAATAGATAGAGGGATTCTTGAGGAAAGTTTAGGTATAGAATACATCCCCGGGCGCGTCCGGGACGGGTTGCTAACTATATCTTAACCTAGAACTCAAACCTGGATGGCGAGGGCTAAATCCAGCCAGTCCCATCGAATTGACCAGTCTTTTTAGGGTTCCGTAGTATACGTCAAGGAACCCTTATAGTTTCGTCATGTCCGTCCGTCCGTCTGTCCGTCTTCGCTCTACCGTCCAAACTGTTAGCGCTAGAAAGATGAAACTTTGCATGGATATGTGTATTTACTACGCCGACAAAGTGCTAAAATAAAATTATGAAAAATGTTTTTTTCTGGGGTACCTCCCCTACACGTACTTAATGTGGGGATGATTTTTTTTCTGAAATGAATGTATAATATTTTTTCACAGGTCCTGCATTTTCCATCCCAGAGAGTAGTGAAGATGAGAAGGCATCGGATGATGAAACTTATAGAAACCCAGGTCCTGAGATTTTCATTCCAGAGAGCAGTGACGATGAAATCGCTTCAGATGATGATCGTGGAAATGTAGGTGAATTTGAAGAAATTTATTTAGATGACGACGCTCTTGATAATGATTGCGACGAATATATTCCTTATGAAACGGAAGAAGAAGATATCTCAAGCAAGCCTTCTACGTCAAAACAGCGCACAGGAAATAAGAGAAAGAAGGTTAAATGTGTATGGTCTGATGAAAGTATGGCGTATGACGAGTCACATATTGCGTTTTTAGGATGCCAAGATCTCCCAAATGAAATTATGAAACTCGAAGCGCCCATGGATTTCTTTAAATTTTTATTTCCTTCTTCAGCGATTAATTTAATTGTAAGGGAGAGCAACTTATATGCTGATCAAATCACCGAAAGCAACCACAATGAAGTCACGGAAGAAGACATACGTAAATTTTTAGGCATAATAATTTATATGTCTGTGGTGCATCTTCCAACAACACGTCATTATTGGAAGGAAGGTACATACATTGAAAAGGTGGCTTCAGCAATGACTTGTAACAAGTTTGAAGAAGTAAAAAGGTTTTTACATTTTTTTAACAAAAATGATGAGTTGGAGTCCGGTGATCCAAATTTTGACCGGTTACAAAAGATACGCCCTTTCCTTAATATATTGCGTGAAAGACTGTTACAAGTGCCTAAAGAAGAATACTTGGCAATTGATGAACAAATGATTCCTACCAAAGCATGTACTTCTGGTATGAGGCGTTATAATGCCAAAAAACCACACAAATGGGGCTACCTCAATTATGTGCTAAGCGGAGCCAGTGGCTTTAGCTACGATTTTGAGGTTGATACTGGAAAACACCCTGATCCGCCAGAGAACTGCCCTGACCTCGGAATACCAGGAAACATTGTCCAGCGTTTGTTAAACACTGTTCCTCAAAATCTTAATTATAAAATTTTTGTGGACAATTGGTACACTAGTTTGCCTTTGATGGCCAACTTGCATAAAAAAGGACTCCTTCCTTTAGGAACAATTCAGCTCAATAGAGCACCCAATATAAATATAGAAAAAAAAACTATTATGAAAGAAGAAAGAGGATATTGTGCGGAAAAATCTACCATTTATGAGGATGTCAAATTAACCGTTACTACTTGGGTAGACAATAAACCTGTTAGCCTGTGTTCTTCATACGTAGGCAAAGAACCCATGGCAATGGTGAAAAGATTTTTAAAGAAAAAAAGGGCCAAAATTGATATCCCTTGCCCAAAGGCTATTACAATTTATAATAAATATATGGGCGGCGTAGACTTATTAGATTCTATGCTACGTTTTTATAGGATTAAAATTCGAAGCAAAAAGTGGTATCACAGATTGTTCTTCCATTTTATAGACCTAGTCTGTGTAAATAGTTGGTTATTGTGGAGACGTAGAACCAAACAAAAAGGTGAAGACATGTACATACCCTTGCTGGATTTTAAATTAATGGTGGCAGAAATTCTGATGCAAGAAGATGCCAGAGTTTTTTCACCAACTCGCAGAGGACGACCGCTAAATGCAAATATAGAAAATATTAAAAAAGACAAAAAACGACGCCGCATTGAATTGCCTCCTGTTGAAGTAGCCGAAGATGGCTTTAATCACTGGCCGGAGTGGAATACTGACCGACAAAGGTGTAAGATGGTCGGCTGTGGTCAAAAAACCCAAGTAATGTGTACTAAGTGCAAATGTTATTTATGCTTGAATAAGGACCGCAACTGTTTTAAAAAATTTCACATGTCGCATGATTGAATAAATAAATTAAAATTCATAAATGTTTGCTTTCGCATAGGTTTTTTTGTATTATTTTTAATAAACTAATTTCTAAAATGTATGAAAATAAAAATATTAAGTAAATATATTTTTATGTAGTTTTAATTAATTGAAGTAACTTAATTTAAAAAATTGATTAAATATAAATAATTTAATTATAAAATCTATATGTATAATAATACCTATATAAAAACTTCACAATTTTTAGTAATCATATTTTTGACATTTTTCTAATAAAATAAATTTGCAATTATATTGATACGACGTCACATAAGTATTTAATTTCTTAAAATATGTTTTTATTTAGACATAAATTTGAAATTATGACCTTAAAAAAAACATGCTTATCCAAAAGTAGAACACACTGCATGATGTTCCAAATATGGAACACGTACAATTATAAGCTTGAATGCATATCGTTCCAAATTTGGAACCAAAACTTTGGATATTTTTTTTGTAATGAATAATACCTCGATTTTTTTTTAAATATTTTTATATCAACAGGTATAAGGTATAGAACTAAATATTTTTTTTTAAGTTGATTTAAAAATTCCATGCGGTAAAGGTTTAATACTTTTTGCGCTCAATGTGATGGAAACCCACATATCTGTTTATCCTGTTTTAATAAGATCCATCGTTATGTTTAGTTCTTTCTAGTCAATTATTGATTTAATTTTTTCTGATTGCATTTTTATTTCAATGGTAATTTTTGTAGCATTTCCTGGATTTTTTCCTGTGTAAGAAGACATTTTTTTTTAATTTGAAGTTTATATTGTTTGTTTTATATTTTTAATAATGTGCATTGTAATAGCTTTAAGATTTAATGTGATTAAAAGTCATGTATCATGAAATTAGTCGCTTTTTTATTTTATCTTAAGGATATTGTACATATTTCCTAAAATTTTCTAAGTAGCCACGTCCCCTTGAAAAGGATTACTCTATAGCGCCAAAGCGGTCACTTGCATACACGAAATGTACGACACGCGTGACCGGCGGCCCAAAAATACATTTCGAATATGCCTCTCGCTTGAGGTCACCGGTGACCCCCATGGCGCAATAAAGTAAACCAGATGAGGTCACCGGTGACCACCATGGCGTTCAACGTGTTAAAGAAAAAAGTGTAAAAAGTAAGTATTTTTCTAATATTTGTTGTATTTAGGTCTGAAATCTTGAAATGGAATCAGTGTAGTGTTTGTTAACATTTTGATGGTTTTATCTGAAAAACTTATGCGCAGAATCATTATACATTCATTACTACTATTTGAAGTCGAAATGTATTACGAATTTTGCTTTACTTATACTATTTTGTAGGAAATTTCATCCAGATTTTAGATATGTGATATGTTTCGGTCTGATTTGCAACATTATTTTTTTACGACCAAACTATCACACTAACTCTACATAACCTATAACAATATACCTTTATGTTCACCTTTTATCTTTATCTTCTGTACGAGTATGTCACTAAACTTCTTAACGACTAGACCGATTTGGAAATGTTTGTTTATGTGGGTTCCTGGTCCTAGATGGTTAAGATTTACAATTGGACCCGTTAGAAAATCTATTATTTGGGAATGTTTGTGTATGTTTTAGCGGATTTTGATGGATGGTTTAGAGACGTCTCGAGGGGCACCGGCGCCAATTGCTGGAATGCTTGTTGAACGTTCACCAAGTGGCAGCTTACGCGTGGTACCAAATCAGCAAATTATAATCGAGAGATCACAACCAGGAACCTTGCATGTATATATAATACGTACATAATATTTGCTCGTTCATATGTATATTTGGACAATATTATTTATGTGCTTTTATTTTCTGCCATGGCGGCCTGATTTTCAAGAATTGTATAATTTTGAATATGCAGAAGAAAATATTTTATTTTGATGTTTCAATATATAATTTATAAGTAATCTTAAACGCACAGATAAGATTAGCAGCCATCCATTTTATTTATTTCATCACTTTGTGCACTTAAAACATTTTTCCCATTTTTTCTATTCTCGCCCTATAATTTTATAATTTACTAAAATTATATCAAAGTATTAGTATTTCATAAACACACTATATACATAAAACCAGAGCGTAAATATGCGTCTTTGCTTCGTGACCAGAGCGCAGATATACACTCTTACTTTGTGAATGCAGCGTAGACTTATTACACGTACTTTAATCAATTTTAGTTTATTTATGGCATATTTTGGCAATCC